TATCTTTCCACTAGTGTCAGAGGTAAGTATCAAAGCTAAACCCAGAATCATCTGGTGACAAATTGAGAATCTAATGCAAGTTGGAAGGGGCATTCTACCTCTCTTTACTTATTTGATGTTTAGATAATGAGTAAAACTATTGCATTTTTAAATGGAAAGAAATCAATTTCTTTGAAAGCATTATGAATTCAAGTGTTGGTCACACTAATGGATTGTAGGGAAAGATGAAAACACAAAGCTCAGAAGCTAGAGATATAGGACGTCATTTCAGTTCCACAAGTAACATGCCTGAATCTAAATTATGTCAGTTCAAATCTCTGGACTTTTGGTCTTCCCACTGGTAAGAACTGTAGAATGATGTTTTCGCACTATTGACTATTCATTGTTAGGAATTAAAGATTATTTTTTAAGTTAAGGGGAATTATTTGGGGAATCCCAACATTTAATCCCATAAATGTAAATCTTTGCTCAACTTCCTATGAAGGTGTTAAGCAAGATGAAGTCTTTCTCAATGTGGAGATAGCAAAGTCACAAAAATGTTGCACTTTTTCAATGTAACTTGGTAAACAAAAAAGCTCAAAATGACTATGGAATCATGCCCTTTGTAATTAGAAAGCTATAGAGAAGAAAGAAATTTATACAAGGTGACACAACAATTCTTGATATAGAATCTGGACTTAAATTTGGGTTTCATGGCATAATTCTGATGGCCCCTTTAAGTACGAAGTATGTTAAGGAGACTATATGCAATACTAACTATTCCTTTACAGCCAAAATAGAGTCCTACTCCCTAATGTCTTCGTGAATGTCAAATCTAGAAAACCTACTTTCTCCCTCCATATGTATCTATCAGGATGCAGCACTCTCAGCTGTCTCTCACATCCTGCAATTACACTAGTAAGTTTGCAGGATGAGCCAACTCTGACATAGATGTGTGTATTATTTCCGCAGAAAATAGAGCTGATTTATCTCACTTTTTTTTCTTTTCCTACAGAAATGCTCATATCACTAAAATCCTAAATTAGGAGGTATGTAATCATATCAAGACCTACCTTCTTACTAGGCACTTTAAGTGAAATATAAAAGTAAGTTTTGGGGCATATATCTGGGAAGATATATTCAAACAGGAAAAAAAAGATTAATGCATCATTACAAATCTTTGCCAAAAAGAAAAGGGCATGTATGTTAGGACTCAGAGTGAAATACTTTTCAGATGCTTGAACAAGTAAAAAAAAGAAAAAGAAAAAGATTTTTCACAGTCTAAAACTTATTATTTCACAGAAAAGGCATCATTTCATATGAATCAACTACATGCCTGTTGTTTCAGGGTAGACATACCATCAACTCTTGGAAGGAACCCTTGATTTGCCAGAAGGATGTCAGCCTCCAACATCACTGATAAGAGTCTCCCAGACACTCTCTTCCTGACAGGGATTCCAGGGCTGGAGTTTGCCCATATCTGGATTGCAATTCCATTCTGTGTCATGTACCTGGTAGCACTGCTTGGCAATGCTGCCATCATCCTGGTCATTGTGATGGACAGCGCCCTGCATGCTCCCATGTACCTCTTCCTTTGTCTTCTCTCACTCACTGACCTTGCTCTCAGCTCCACCACAGTGCCCAAAATGCTGGCCATTTTGTGGCTCCATGCAGGTGAGATTTCCTTTGCTGGATGCCTGGCCCAGATGTTTTGTGTCCATTCTATCTACACTTTGGAGTCCTCAGTTCTCCTGGCCATGGCCTTTGATCGATATGTGGCTATCTGCAACCCACTGAGATATACAACCATTCTCAACCATATTGTCATAGGCAGAATTAGCATTGTTGGTGTATTCCGGAGTGTAGCTATTGTCTCCCCCTTCATTTTCCTGCTGAGGCGACTGCCCTACTGTGGCCACCATGTCATGGCTCATACATACTGTGAGCATATGGGCATCGCTCGGCTGGCCTGTGCCAACATCACTGTCAATATTGTCTATGGGCTGACTGTAGCTCTGCTGGCCATG